TAACTTCTATTGTCTTTGGTCCTGCTTATTAAGCTTGCAGCTTGTCTCATCGACCTCCATGCTTAGTTTCATTTTATTTAATAAGGACAATCTTCTCTCATGCTAGAAAAACCATCAGAAAACTCGCCGCAAAGTTCAAGCCGGTCGGCTTATTTAGCACCCGGTGGAACCGTGACCGAGCATCAAGCACGAACCGTGAGTCCTAGCCCTAGCCGAAAACTTGCGAGCCACGTGAGAAAGCACTCGTGCCTTCATCAACTCGCGGCCCAGTTTTATTGATTGAAAAGTGTACTAACAATCCTTATATTTTACATTCCTAGATAAGTTTTTGAGAATATTTTTAGTGATTTACTTTTTCGGTCTCTTAATTGTAAATCAATTTAGTGATTTATAAATTTGAGCATTTAGTTGGATTGTTACATTTTTTAATGTTGTTTTTTTACTTCTTTTTTTTTTGTGTAATCACATATTTTAAATTTTATTTATTTTCTCTTAAAAAAATTTTTATTTGATAAGCTCCATAAGCAAAAATATTATGCGATGTGCTGTAAAAGTTCTATTTAAATCAAATTTCCAACAAAAAAACTTATTTTTTTTTTTAAATTATAGACGTTTAACTTAACTAATAAATGCATGAAATCTCATTTATTTTTAAAAATAATGCGAGAGTTATACGGATTCTAAGTTTTTAAACTTGATGGTACAAATATCGATATTTATTTTATAATATTTATATTTTTAGTAAATACATTTTTATATAAAATGAGTGTTTCGACTTATACTACAAGTTTGTTATTTAATATATAAAATTAAGCCACCCCAATGAAATTCTTAGATCCGCCAATTGTAGTGGCTTAAAAATCAAAATGTGTGGAAATAAAGCTTCTAAAACTCAGACTGAAAGTATTATGCACAAAAAAGTTTTTAATAATATCAAAATATAATGTGGTTGACTTGTTTATATTTTTTTTTTATTTAATTTTGAAATAATAGAATACTAAAATGTGTTGTCTTTCTTTTTTTTTTTTTGGGTGCAAAAAAGGAGGCCATCGGCCTATGCGTTAACTTAAACACGACGGGGATAAGAAATCCCGATAACATCATGCATAAGTCAATCTTCCAAATTAGGGGGAGGAGAAGCCAACACATGAAAACCAACCGACCAATAGGCGGCTAAACTCGTCAGGTGGTCAGCCGCAAAGTTTGCCTCGTGGTGCTAAAATATGTTTTTCCAATCAATGAAAACTCTGTTTTTTGCTATTAAAGGCGTAAGCAGCTGTGATCTTGATTTAAAAGTATTAATTTGTGATCTGTCGTATCATCATTCTATTTATTATAAAATTTTTAACAAATATTGAAATAAATTTCCTTTTTTTTTTCAATTAATATAATTTTTTAATTAATTAATAATTTACTAGAATAACTATTATTGAACTATATCTCCTTGTGTGCATCGCACGGGTTCTAACACTAGTTGATAAAAGATGCTCTAGTCTACGGATGGGAGCCATTATTTTGATGAAAGACTTAGCAGATTGATTAAATGGATCAACATGTATCATCCATGATCCAACGGCCATCTTAAAACATATAAGCTTTTTAAGTGGTCATCATGCCAGCTTCCATATTTGACTTAATATTTGACTTCCTTTTTTATTTTCATTTTTTTTTTTTCATTTCGTTGTGTTAACGACGTTTTAAGTTTCACAATCATAGAAAAATTCTTGGCGCGGCTGCAATTTATTCCATTGTCAACTTATATTTCATGCGGACTCTATTTATTAAATATAATAGTTAGAAAAGTCAAATTTAATTAATAATTTTTTATAAGTATTTAATTAATACATTTAATATTTGGGTATGCAATTTATTCCATTGTCAACATATATTTCATCTATACTTATATTAAAGGGGACCCTATTTACTAAATATAGTAGTTAGAAAAGTCAAATTTAATTAATAATTTTTTAATTTTATCAAGTATTTAGTTAATACATCTAATATTTTTTTTTTGGTACAGGGACCTTCCGGTTTCTAGATCCACAGGGGAACCGACTAATCCGGAATCGAGCCGGGTATTAAATTAGCATTTAATTAGTTCCTAAAATATTGGGTATGCAATACTAGTTTAGAAATATCCATGTAATTCCTAAAATGTTGGTATGCAACACGTAATTTTTTTTTAATATTTTTAAATATAAAATATTGCAACACGTAAAACTATTCCAGTTATTTTTTATTTTATTTTATATATAAAATCTAATCAATATTTAATGTATCCTACAAAATTGGATTTAATTTAATTCTCCATACAATTGGTTGTATTTCCGTTCTACTTATTTATTTATTTATTTTACACTTTGAAATTAATGAAGATCTCTGAAAATATCAAATCAAATGATTTATGATTTTTTTATTTTTTGTTACAATTATAAATCTATATACCCAACTTAAAAAACTCATCACATAAATATGGACGAGTTTAAGAAAATTTTATAACCCAACTTACAAAATTCCATCTTCACTAGTAAAAAAAATTGCATCTCTCATCTATCGTAACAACTTTAAAGATAAATAAATAAAAGTCTAATTACAACTATAAATCCATTATCTATTTAGATTTTTTTTAAATCTAAATTTCACCTGTCTAATTACTAATATTTTAGATATTTTTAAATATTATATGTATAATGTTTTTACACATTTGCTTTCTCTATATATATACATATATGGAGGTTAAATGAAGAATTTTTAGACATGTTTTCCTCACAGGTAATTTAAAAAAATTTAGGTAGCTTCAAACATTATTTGTGAATAATATAGAATATTTTAGATACTTTTATAGATGTTATTAAATAATTTAAGTATTTTTAATATTTATATATCACAATTAGAAAGAATATTTTGCCAAAAAAAATAAATATAAAATACACATTGTAAATGTTAATAGAAACAGTCTTCAGTCTTTGATTTGTCAAAAGAAATTCCATAAAATCGATGAAGTCATAATTTGTACGTAAAATCTATCTATACTAAAAAGAGGGCAGATTCAAAATATTTTATCTAATTCCTTCTTATTATCTAATTGTATAGAAATATTTTCTGATTTTATTGAATCCTTTAATTGTATTTGTATTATATCCATAAAATTGGTTTGACAAAAATAATTCCATAACATCCGATAAGTAAAAAAAAGTACATAAAATTTTTACAAAAATAAAAAGGCCTTATTTATTATCAAATTTATTATCTAATTGTATGAAAATTTGTTCTGATTATATGGTACGTACTATAAATTGTGCACCTGTGTTCAGGAGCTACTTAACAGACAAGCTCTGTGGAAATAACTCATTTAGTGCTTTTGTCCCGTACATACGGTATGTATTTGTATTACACATACTAGAAAATTGTGCACCTCGTGCATTGCACGGACTCTGTACTAATATAGTAATATATAACCTTCAAATTGTGCACACCGTGCATCACCCGTGTTCATATTTTGGCCTATTACAGGTCACGTACTATATATATCCTGTACATTTTTCTTTATTTATTTATATAATTATAAGACTGGATAAATAACCTTAATTTTGTACACTCTGTACATCGCACGGGATCTGTACTAGTTAATTATTAAACAATCTTAAGAAAAATAACGAGCAAGTCAATTTATTTCTTAATCTAATTATTTTGACCTTTTGTGATTTATTAAAACTTCAACCCAGTAATATAAAATTTAGATATTTCATAATAAATAGTAGTAATAATAATAATAATAATAATAATAATAATAATAATAATAATAATAATAATAATAATAATAATAATAATAATAATAATAAATTCATAACTCTTACAAGATTCGAATCTTGAAAATTCTTAGGCCTAATTAGTTACAATAAATATGATTAGCTTTGACCAGAATTTTTTATTTCAAAATTTGACACAAATATAACTCAACTTAGGGAAACGCTATGGTCCCCGAAACTATTCCATCAGAGTTTGTAACCATTATGACATGATTGGTATAATAGAATAAAATTTTGTGGGAATAGAATGAATTGAAGAATGAAATGATTATGAGAATAGAATGAAACAAGTTTTGTCATTGATGCGTTTGGTATGCAGAAGGATTAAGACCTAAATGAAATGACATTATGATATTTTATTATAAAAATAAATAAAAGCTTTTTTTAAAAAAAATAATATATTTTTAATAAATTATATATAAATGCTTTTTTAGTAATATATAAAAATAAAATAATATATTTCTAATAATATATAAAAATAAAATAATATATTTCTAATAATATACAAAAATAAAATAATATATTTTTAAATTATATATAAAAAATAATATGTTCTCAAAACTAATATATTTTTAATATATAAAAATAATATATATTAATAATACATAAAAATAAAAAGTAATATATTTTTAATAATATATATTTTTATTTTTTAATTAAACAATAAATAAAAGTAAATTTTTAATTTTTTATTTGAATTTTATTTTTTAAAATAATATATAAATATATAACGTAATATACTTTTAATAATACATATTTTTATTTTTTAATCAAGCAATAAATAAAAGTAAGTTTTCAATTTTTTTATTTGAATTTTTATTTTTTAAATAATATATTTGTAATAATATATAATAATAAAAAGTAATATATTTTTAATAATATATATTTTTAATATTTTTTAATATTATGTGTTGCAACACCAATAGAATGAGAGGAATAAGTAAACACATAATAATGGGAATAGTAATTCCATAGTCATGGTCATTCCTTGAGAGCAAAACATAAAGTATATGAATGAGAATCAGATAAGGAATGATCATTCCATTCATTGTTCATTCCCATATACCAATCAAACTGTTAGATCAATAACGGGACTGTAACATCTCCTCTCAACTTAATTCTACTCAATATTATTTATTTATCTTTTTCAAACTTTTCCCTAATTCTTACCAGAAGAAAAAAAAAAAACCCATGAGAAGTGCGCGGGAGTATTTGTCGGCGGAGGAGGAGACCCTCCGGTGGGCGGCGCTGCAAAAGCTTCCGACCTACGACCGTCTGAGAAAAACTGTCCTTAAATCGTTATCCGACGATGATGACGTCATTTGTGTCGTCGACGTGAGGAAGCTCGGCACGACCCGCCGGCGGGAGTTCATCGACCGGTTCTTTAAGGTCGCCGACGAAGATAACGATAAATTCCTCTCGAAGCTCAAGAACCGTATCGATCGGTACCTTTTTTCACCTTTATTTTTTTACTTATTTTCATTTTATTTCGATTATTATTTAAAAAAAAGAAGGTTTATTTGTTCCTCATATGTTCTGTTTTTTTTTTTTTTTTT